ATTACAAATAACTTCATTTCTGGACATTTATGGTTTGATTTCTTTGTATGTATGGATCACTTGGTTTGTTACTGACATCTGGTGAAAATTTCATGTCATTAGCACCTCTAGTAATATATTTACTGAGAAAATGTTGACGTGTTCAATACTTATTTTACCCACTGTATATATCAAAACAAAACAAAAAAACAAAAATCACATTTACAAAAAAAGTCCTTCTCTTGAAGCATTTTAAAGCATCAATTTACAAAGAGAAAGAGAGCGATCCACTAAAAACAAGACGCCATCAACAGAACAGCAACACTCCTTTGAGTGTGTAAATTTGTCMGTTTTTCCTTACATGGTTAAGAAAAAGAGGAGAAAAAATATACTAAAAATCCTGTGTRGCAGCCACACGGTCTTACCATTAGGGTCAGATTTCTTGTAAGCATTTCCTGCGTCAATGAAACTGGTCGCACAGTCATGTTTGTTCTGCAGCTGCATGTGGAGACGAGCAGCTTTGCAAAATGCGTTTCCAGCCCCTGCAGAACAGAGCGAAGTAAAAACAAACAAACCGCCCACAAACACATTAGCTAATTCAGATTTAGCTCACACTTTCTTTCACGCCGCAAGCTTTACAAGTACAGTACGCAGAAAGAGTTTCTTTGGACATACCACTCCAGTTCTTGGCCATCTTGAACATGTTGGCAGCTCTGCAGTACATCTCGCACGCTTCCTCCACTTTGTGAGGTCCTCTAGAAAAACAGAAAATACTTTAGAATAACGAACATATTTTTACTGACGTTTAATGCTGTAAATGTTACCCAGTTAGTCATATGGTTAGTCACATTTAACACATCATTTAATGTGCAAAGTGGTTTGTATTTCAGATAATATAAACCTCCTCCTGCAGAAGTACTGAAACTCTCAATCCCTCTGTGACAAGAAGTGGTTCCCAGYGAGTTCCCTATAAATGTAAAAGTACTTTGGGAATTAAATCCAAGCAGAGGTTTACGGCACTTCTGGCAAGTTAAAGAAATAATGATATAACTATGATGAACAAGAAATGCAGCAACAAATAGAGGTCATTTGGAGCAGAAAATTAGTCAAAAGGGACTGAGATGTACTGATAAATATTTTTGGGGCCTACACATTTTGGTTTGTCAATCTAAAATCACTGTTGCTTCAATTATTATTATTATTATTATTATTATTATTATTATTATTATTATTATTATTATTATTATTATTATTATTATTRGGATTAAAGCTGTCAGTAAAGCATTTAATACAGAACTACTGATTGGGGGATTATGACAGGATTAGATCAAATCTATACAGGGTTTTTTTTACACTGTTTGAGGGTAATAATTCCCATAAAAGTTTCTATGTTCTGACTGGAAAGCTGCATTTTAATGCCATGACATTATGTATAGTTATTTAATTTAATGAAAGTGTGTACTGACAACATAAAATCATTTTCAAACAATAAAGGAGATTGTAACTAATGATAAAGGTGATATGAGGCTGCAGAAATAGTCCACTATACAGAGCTTCAAGTCCAGCAGAGAAAGACGTCACAGATATGCCTGTTTACAATTACTAGAAATTGCAAAACAATAACATGATTAAGTTAAAATACATTCTAGTGGTCTGGGTCAATGATTGAATAAACTTCTGCAACATTTGTGTCGTTTTGTTCATCTTCATGTTGTGTAGAAATGGGCTGCGTGCCAACTTTYTTTTCCGCTGCTGACACTTGACGGTTTTCCTAGCTGTTGTTCTTTGGTGCAGTGCTGTCTCTTACCCTCCAAACATTCCTCCCAAAAAGGAGCCGGAAGACTTGACTTTTTTGTCAGCGTCGGCCATTAGCTGAATCGCTTCTTTCTCTTTCCCAGTGTTGTCCATTTCTTTTAGTGTTATTTGGACCAAACTTCTGGTTCAGGAGAAAATACCCGCAGAGGATTCAACTGTGTACAGTAAGGATTACAGTTGATTTAACGTAGGCGTAACCCGGTCAGCTTGGAGCTTAGGCGGAGCGAAAGGCATTCTGGGAGTTTGAGTGTCTGAACGCCGCAAAAACGATCATATCAAAGCAAGTAAAACTACAATTCCCAGTGGGTGAAAAAAGCCTTTTAGATGGTCCGTGTTACGTAAAATCTGACTGCGTTTTGCAAAAGAATAGACTCAACATCCTGTTTGTTTTTCTTTATATAATAATAAAATGTAATAAATCACAGTTTGGTTGAACCTTTCGTACAGTAATACAGTACATGTACAAAAATGTTTTTGAACCAACACAAGTCAGTTGGTTTCTATACAGGAGAGGGCGCTAAAACACAGTGATTTCTGGCAAATCTTCAGAMAGAAATACATGCATCAATGCATTGTTGTTTACTTTAATGTCAGAATTATGAGAATTTTTTTAATTATTATTTTTTTCAGGGCTCTAATCCTCTTCCGTTCACTTCAGTCCAGGAAATAAAAGGAAATAATAATAATAAAATGAATTTATTGCATTACATTAAAAAAATGCTATAATAAAAATACTTTTATTTTAAACTATATCTAGTAATCAAACAAGCAATAAAAATCGTTTTAAATATGTTAAGCTAAAACTGAGTCTCCTAGCTCTCACCTGTTTCCCACATAGTTTTGCTGCAGCACTAACATGTTATTTACCAGTTTAGAAGCAAATGATGTTTTACTTTAACTCCAAATCTCCTAAAAGCATGAGTGATGATGTGATGACTGGCAATGATACATTTTAAGTGACACTACTCAGACAGTCAACACCCTAACAATCATTGCTTCCAACAGCTATTGATTGGTATTAATTATTACTTACTGGATAAATCCCAGATGATTTGAGTCACAACTGCTGTTTTTATTAGAGCTGAATATTGTTATAGAAAATGAGCTTTAAATGTAGGTCTTCTGATATGTTTTCATTGGGTGTAGCAGGAGTAGATGTAGGGTAGAAGTCTGTTTACTGCCCTTTTAGTGACACATCTCTGAAGATGTCGCTGAGAAGCTTTGTCTTAAATTTACTCTAAGTTTAAAACAGATATATTTTGATCAAGTCAGATTTGCAGATGAGATAAAATTCACTGATTAGGTTCGATTTGTTATTGATCTTCTTTGTATTTATGAAGACCAGTCCAGGCCAGGCATCCAACAGTGACTTCTTTGCTTTTATTAAGTCACCAATTACCCTCCATGTTGTTGAATTTTTAAACTTTTACTGCTTTTTGGTAAGAAACACAATTTCTCATTTAATTTTTTAAGGGTTCCAACTACAGCACTATTACTACAAAAAATATCAAAAACATTTAACTTCTTTCTTTGAGCAATTTTAAGGGAAAATCCTGCACAACAAAGTAAGATTAACATATCCTTTGTAGAGCATGTTTTGTAAATTGCACTTTTTTCTGCAGCAAAATCCATTTGGATAAGATGAAAAAATGCTCTACAAATCAATTCAAAACACTTCAATAACTAATTCAAAAATCATAATTAGGAGAATGGTATTGTTAATCTATTGTATAGTCATGAAAATGTATTTTATAATTATTGAGAAAGGGGTGGTTTATGCACGTTTTTCTTCTTCTTGCTCCCCTTTCACTCCTGTAATGTAAGAGGGTTTGTGAATGAAATCTGTTTAATCGAGTGAATAAACCGATTTACTGCTCTTCAGCAGTCACTGGAAATAATCCATTAAAAGTACAAAATAGTTGGTCCAGTTGTTTTGCAGCCAATTAGCTACCAAAACATCCAGGCTGTGAGTAAATTAGCCCTGACTTAGCAACCTTGACCTCTTATATAATTATTGACACAATAAAAATAAACATTAGTCACGGGTTTAGGACTCGCCTCTTCAGAAAGTGATGCTCCTCATAGGCAACACTAATGTTTCAATAATCTTATGCTAGCAGTAATCAGAGTTTACACCAGTTTCTGAGAATGCTGTTATTAACAGCAGCGTTTACAGCCCTCTGTAAACTGAAGCTCTGAGAACACGAGCTTCAAATTCAGTGAACGATAAGACTCTCATAAACAAGTACCACATTACTGACAGATCATTTTGTCAGCCAAACAGACACACTAAACATACAATCATATTAGATACTTTCAACTGATTATTGAAAAAAAGACTCAAAGGTAATTGTGTTTTGGTTTTATTTACAATTCAAGTGTCAGTTCATGTACACCGAGCTGATCCATATATACAGTACAGAGCATGCAACAATCAGAGACAAACTGTACAGACAACAYGTCACATAGTTTGTGTGTAAACTAAACTGGTGCTTCTGTGAAACTTAATGGGTTTATAAGGAGGTACAAGTCCTAAAAGCTTCTCAACTTAAGTCAAACTTAAGTGGTGAGTGAGATTCTGTTTATGTTGAAATCAAATAAAAAACTTTCTATTCATATCCTTTAAGGCTGTGGTTTGACTGTGCACCAAAACTAAACATTTCTTCCAGAAATCAAGTATGTAAAGCAGATTATACAGTGCAAATGTGGAAAAGTACATCATAATCAGGCCCAAAAACAAAAGCTCAAAAAGGAAAAAGAGTTGCAGCGAGTGCATTTAACTGAACCTCTTCATTAAGGACTCGTTCATGCCAATGATTTGAAAAGTGCATAAAGTTCTTCCACTAAAAAAAGAAGCAATCTTTCATTAAAAGGCAACCTTTGCTGTCATCTCGTTTTTAATGCCTCCGTGTTTGTAAAAAGCTAAACTTGTCCAGCAGTTCACTGAGTCACAACAGTGTCTGATTGGTTTGCACTGTTTTTGAAGACAATAACAAATGGCTACACGCACAAAAATAACAAAAACATTCTACAGCATGAGCTTAATGACATCCATTTTTATACTTATTAAATCGGAACACATGTAAGATATTATTATAAGCATTAAGTTATATTTCAATCGGCCTCATAAATCTGCACCTAATGTAGAATTCCTACATTTATTTTAAGACCCGTAGAGTATACTGCTCTGATGTGTGAACTGGCCTTTGTGGGAGAAATATAAAACATGGCTTCTTTGATGTTTTGGCTAAGCGTCTAACTATAAATGGCGTGTATAAATAAGAAAAGCTTTGTGAGGACAGAAGGAAATGATCTACGTTGGGTTTACTTTCGAAGCAAAAGGTCTGGGAGGCGCACCTGATCAATATATTTGATACATATTTTTTTGAGGAAGTACAAGCTTCTTTCACTCGTACAATCCTCCCTTGGTCAACATTAGCATGAATGTGCAAAAAGCTACGCAGGAAGGGAAGACATTTTGTCTTTTATCTAAGAAGAGCTGAGGCCAGAGTCGGACTCGGCACTTCCGCCACGGGCCTTGGGGGCAACACATGGTACCATGGAGCAGGGAATGGTGTAGCAGGAGCACGCGGAGCTCTTTAAGGTCTCCTCTGTGATGACCTCCTGCAGGGTGTGCTGCTCTTCTACTTGAAAGATGTTTGGCTGCTCTCCCTGGGCTTCACAAATACTGGAAGAGAAAGAGAAAGAAAAAAAAACAGAGAAGTTGTGGGGGATCGGTGTTTCACAAYACAATAAGACGTCTCACATTTGTAAGCAAAGATGTAAAATGACTCATTCTCAGACAACCATTAGGGAAACRAATTTTGTTGAACCAGCACAAAACATATTCTAATTTATAGATTTAGTCAACTTATTCTTTATGTCATAAGGGGAAAAAAGCAGAAACTAATCCAGATTGAGTCTGTAGTTTTGAATCAAATCACAATAATTCAAACTGTTTCCATGCACAATCAGTAAGTTGAAACATGCAGTGGGATGACTGCACTGGCGATACGGTAAAATTTTCCTTCAGCTGTTTAAAGTCCAACCAGTGATTGGTTTAGATGTGTGCAGTGATATTAGGAGGGGCCAACAGATTACAGACATGATTAACTTCTAACACAAAGAGTCAGCAGGCTTTGGAGTGAGAGCGATGAGGAACGTGTCACAGAATTTAGGTTGACTTTAAAAAAGAAATATGTTCACACTGCAGGTCTTAATGGTCAATTCAGATATTTTGGGCGTGAAGTGAACGTTCACATTATATTTTAAATACAACCTGCAGGAGCAGAAGTCATCACGTCACATTCAGCTTGCTGTTAACAGAAGTAGCTAAACATGGATGCTACTTGTTAGCATGCCGACTCTGAAGTTGTTCGATCACAGCAGATTCAATAACTATTGGATCCTCTTGCTTTGTTCAGTGTTTAGATCTGAATCTGCCTCTGACGGGAGTCTCTAGGCAGCATTTTATTTTTGAAATGAAGCGACGTGCTGAAAATAAAATATTTATTAAATAAATTAATTTAAAAAACAAATTTGGGTCGCAATTGCCTGCAATGTGAACGTAGTCTTAATGTTACTAAGAGGTTGTTTTTAAACAGCAAATGTATTGATTCTTTTTTGTTATGTTTTGTTTTTTACCCGGCCATCGCTCCTGTGATTTTTCGTAAAAGACATGTTTCTCCTAAAATGTTGTTTTAACTGCATCTTTAGTCCTTTTATCTTATTGTTCACCAAAATTAGTGCTAGTTTAAAAACAGTAAAAAGCACTCATTTCTTTGCTGAAATATAAAACGAAAACAGCATACCATAGCAGTTCAGCCTGACAAAGTTAAAAGGCGTTTCTGCTGAAAGTAATTAGTACAGATTTCCTTAATTTTGGGAGATCAGAGATCGATTAATACTTAGATAAGATCAGCGGAAAAGATCGGCTTCTCATCTGAAAATCAGCACTGTCCTCTCTGCTCTGTTGTGAGCACTACCTAATGTCCAGTTAAAGCAAGTTTGTATTGTTTCAGGGGTATTGTTCAGTGTTTTTCAATAAAATAAGATAGGAACATTAAAGGTGTATTTTGACCTTATATTTGACTGTGTCAGGTGTTTAAAAAAATAAATTAGTATCAGCCAAAATCTGAATTGGCAGAGATTGGTGACCAGCCAGAAAACWGCAATCAGTGCACCCCTAATAATTAGTTACTGAATTTTAATTGTAATCCATTACAGGTTAAAACTATTTAGAAGGAAAGTTAAACTTAAAATAAAGCAGAAAATATCACTTCTGACAACATATCTACAAACCGATAGACTCTAATCGCCTAAAACTGGTCCAGTCACCCAGCCCTACACCAACAATATATAACTGGCCTGGAAAGATTACTGTGAGCAAAACATCAGTTGACATGGTTTCTTTTTGCAACCTGTGGAAGTCAAGTCATGTATGAAGAAACAAAACATGCTACCATCTGTCACGAAAAACAGACATTTGCTGTCTTTGTGTGAGTTGTTGATCGTCAAGAGACAAATTCAGCTCTAAAACCATATGAATCTGTTAAATTTCATGGGTTGAATGATCCACTAAAGAATGATAAGAGGGTCCAGTGCCATCACCCYGATGTGAAAAAACTGTTTTCACAGCAATTACAGGCAAATCATCCAGCTTTTGACAGGTGCTTTAAGATTTGCGTAAACTTCAAAAAAAAAAGTGCTCCAGTTCCAATAAAATGCAAAGCTTTTTATACGAGGCAGAAATAGAGGAGTGTGTTGGATCACAGCTAACACACAGCTAAGGTGGTTTGGTGCCATGACACCTGCATTTTTCTAGTTTCAGTCAATCTGAGAAAACTAGAATCTGAACGCAGTTCATGAAAACAATCCCATGCTTTAAAATAAGCCATTCAGTCTTGGTGCTACTTTTGYTTCAAGTTTCAAGTAAAGCAAATAAAATCATAACTCATTACAATGCAAGCATAATAATAAGGAAGAACTTGAAGGCAAACTCAAACCAATWCAAAGTTGTAACAAAAACAAGACTTGACCAAGTGATTATACGAATAAACCCGCATCAAAAATGATAACCATGGCAGTTGACTAATCAAACAAGCACTGTAAGTAAAAACTCAGATGTAAATAATTCTACAAAGTTAAAATAGCTGCATGTTACAAACTAAAGGCACAGAAAAAGATCTGATAAGTCAACCGCCTCATGTATCATTGTCTAGGAACATTAACGTGTTCCTGCAGCGTTTCAGCTAGTATCTGATAAAAAGGGAACCAAAAATAATAAAAAAAATAAAATTAAATTAAGCAATGGGGTGTGAAGCGGTAACAAAACGCAGGAACCAGAGAGAATTACAGGAATCTGGAGAACTTGARTCAAAATACGGCACCTCCCTTTCACAAATTCTGTAAAAAAGAGGCACAGTTACAACAATGACAGAAAAAACAAATGTTAAGAAGGTTTCACTTTGCTCTGTAGGAGTCTGCAAAAGTCTGGGCCAAAGTGCAAATACCAACAAATAGACATAGAAAGAAGTGAAACAGCTGAACAAGCAGGWTCTGCTGAGAGCAGAGGAATCTGTTTAACCCCAGTGACAACACACTTTACATAACTGGACTGGCACTTTGTGTACGGTCATTTTTCAGACTAGTCAATTAACAATCAAGCTTTTCTGGCCAAGGTAAAACCAGGTGCCAACTGATCCACACGCCTGCCAGAGCCAGATTACATAACCCTGTAATGCTTTAAAAACAAGCMGATAATCTTTCGAATCAGGCCTGTTTATTATGGAAAAGTGTTGGCTGCGAAGCAACAGGATTTATACTTGAACTATGGTCCGGATCAGAGCCTTACTTAATCAGCTATTGTTTGTATTTTAAATAAAAGCTTCTGAAATATAAATACTCATTTGTAACAGGGCTGCATGATAACTTGCAAAGTGCAATAACAGTGCTTAATATTACGATGACTATATGACTTGTGATAAATGAAAAAATACTTAAGTATGCAGTGTTGATGTCTTTCTGCTCTGAGAGCAAAAACAGTAATACATCATTTCCATTACAACATGATGGAGTGATTACGATTTGATGTGGCTTCTCTGCTCACTTTAGTTTAACAGACTGGTGCCGACAAAACACATAAATGCAAACATTAAAGCCAAACATTTATTGCAATTTATAAAGTTTTTTTTTYCATATGCCTATTGCTCAGGTTGTTATCATGATGACAATAAATTTGCGATATATTGTGCAGCCCTACTTTATAAAAACACTTTTAAAATCTGCTAYATAAAAAAGTTGCTACATTTCTTCTTAATAATTTTCAGTAAATAAATTTGGGATAAATAATCTGTTCTATGAATTTAATCAAATTCTACTAAAAAAAGTGTTGTAATACTTGAGACCACATTTATATCTGTCTTGTCTCGGACATCGAGGGCTCAGGATTTTATTTCAAGACCAGTCGAGATCACAACTGTGGAAATATTACAAAACTGCCAGAATACTGTCCAATTTATGTGCCTCTCACTGAATTTTGCACCTGGCATTCCAAGAAAGTGAGCAGTGGTTGTCTGGGAGCGGGAGGAGATGTCTGCAAAATCTTCAGCAATACAGTTCAACTACATGAATCATAAAGAATTATAAAACAACATCCAGGAGAAAACCTGCTGTGACTTGTAAATTCTGCAGATTTCAGAGACGGTGGGGGCTATGGCAAACATCGTAACTTAAGGAAGTAAGAGCTTACTTAGAAAGTAAGCTTATGTGTAAAGGATGTTAGCAAAACTATCTAGCTAGCGTTAGCAATTTGTTTCTGTACTAAAATTCTTTACCCGGGTCCCTCACACAGAGATTTAGTCAATATTAGCTCTACAAAGTAAGTTAGCTACCTGTACATTTTAGGGAACTCATTTCCTTTTTTTCCTGGTTTTGACTCGGTCTTAGGTTAGGTCAGTGTTTCCCAAACTGTTTATCTTCTGACCCACAAATTATTCATGGCAAAAACTTGTGACCCCAAATATTACTGGTCTGAGTACACAAACTTTGTTAATAACCCTAAAAATAMAAGCTACACAAATATAAATATTTATTTATCCTTATTTTGTGTTTTTGTAATAATTACAGGGAAATATTACATCACCAATTATTTTATTACCCTTTAAATTGATTTCTGAAGTGCAGTGGTTCCCATACCTTTTAGCTTTTGACCCATAAAATAACAGTAGCAGAGACCTGTACCCACAACTATTTTTGGATGATAAACATTTCTATCAGGTCATCTAAACATGGGCATAGTAACAATATCTGTTATTCTACATTTATACATTTTAGGCAACTAAGGCAAAAACGTAATTAATTTAGAAAATCTTTTCAGGACCCCACCTTGATGTTTCAGAACCCCACTTTGGGTCCCGACCCCAACTTTGGGAAACAGTGGTTTAGGTGGTCTTGACTACAACATCACTGCTAAATATAAAAGCCAAACATCTGACTAAAATGTGCTAGCGCATATAAATATGACAAGTACAGTCAAATATTTAATGCCAGCAGAAGTAAAAAAAAAAAAATAAAAAAATAAAAAAAAAGAAGTTAAAACTTACACAGGGTTTGCATAATTGCAGAACCATCATTCACCTGTAGTAAAACATTAGACGGATCCTCAGACCTTGGTAGGTTTTTGTTCTTGGACAGTATTTTTATTACCTGTTTTATTAACCCGATGACTCTTGGTGTAGAAAATAGGTTTTTGCAGCTTGTGCCAAAACAATTCCACTAAACTGCAGCCTGTAAACGTGTTCTCATAAAACAACTGACTCACAGCAGATATCTGTCAGTAGCTATGTTTAAATGCGCAAAATTCTTTGATCGGATTAAAATGTATTCGGATTAAACAATCAGAATATATCGTTTACATGGGTACAATCCGATCATGACGAGTGCTTACATGCACCAGGCTTTTATTAAGAATAGAAGCACTGACGTGCGCAGTTGTTAACTTTCTCTAAAAAAACAGAAAAAAACGTTCTACTTTCGTGATGAACATAAACAAACAGCTTCTGAGCTCAGAATGGACCTGCAACAGGTTTGAATAATGGTGGAGACGTTTCTGCACTCCATGGTTCAGCTGCAGGTGACCCGCACAGACTTTTTATTTTTATTTTATTTTGCGAAGCGGCGCAGGCTGTGTCTTTGTTGAATGAGAAAACGGAGCTGCTGTCCCTCCCTCCACAAAAGAGCAGAAACCGCTGGATGAAAGTCAGCAGACATGTGCAGTCAGGTCAGTTTTCCACAATCAGATTAAGTGTTTATACATGCACCTCGTTCGGATTAACAATCGGCATAAACCACCTATTTATTATTTACCATTGTTTTACCAGGCAGGTCCCATTGAGATCGCAGATCTCTTTTTCAAGAGAGGCCTGGGCCTGAAGGCAACCTACTGTACATGTTTTTGGGGGGTGGGGGAAACCGAAGTACCCGGAGAAAACCCACGCAAGCACGAGGAGAACATGCAAACTCCGCACAGAAAGACCCCAGGTCCGAACCGGGGATCGAATCCAGGACCTTCTTGCTGTGGGGCGTCGGTGCCAACCACTGAGCCGTCGTGCTGCCCTAAACCTCTCTTATTCAGATTACAAATTCATTCGGATCGAGCTGAATCGGGCCAGAATAATCCGAATGGGGTGTTTACATGAAGCATTTTTATTCCAAATGACCATTTAATCCAATTACTTCTGTCCATGTAAATGTAGCTAATGATAAAGTCAAAAAGAAAAAAAATTGTATAGGTCTTCTGAACGGGTTCTTCTCTAATGAAACATTTTGTCTCTCCTCCAAGAGACTTCTTCAGTCTGAGAGTTTCAGGCAAAATTCAGGCTTTTAAGCCCTGCCTCCGTGTGACTGATACTCACATCACATGGCTATTGTTGACACCTAATTAACACTTATTGTTAACATGGGGTGGAGTGATACTGGCAATGGCAGCGCTGTAGGAGGGGGACAACTGAAAACGGAGGCCTCCACCTCTGTTTAATGATGGACGGTCTTTCTTCACAAAAATGGCTTCTTTTACTCCTCTCTCAAACCAACGTTCCTCTCTATCAAGAATGAGAACATCCTCATCTCTGAAAGAGTGACCRCTGGCCTGTAAATGAGTGAAAACTGCAGAGTTCTGGCCATTAGATGTAGCTCGTCTGTGTTGGGACATTCTTTTGAACAGTGGCTGCTTTGTTTCCCCGATTTATAACTGGTCGCAGTCCTCCTGGCACTTAACAGCATATACAATATTGCTCTGTGTTCCTGTTGATAAGGCAGTGGATGTGGTCTGTGCAAGATTAAAATCAGACACCACTCTCAGCAGCAGAACCACACTTTCCACAGAACAAGTGTGCCAACTCCTCAAACTGTGTCTGGAGTCAACCTACTTCACGTACAGGGGGCAATATTTTAGGCAGAAACATGGGTGTGCCATGGGATCCCCAGTTTCTCCTATTGTTGCAAACCTGTACATGGAGGAAGTGGAAAAGAGAGCCTTGACGTCCTTTTCAGGGGTGCCACCGAGCCATTRGTTCAGATATGTTGACGACACCTGGATTAAAATTAAAGCCCAGGAAGTCCAACATTTCACTGATCACATCAACTCTGTGGATGAATATATTAAGTTCACACGAGATGATGTAAAAATGGCAGGTTAGCGTTCCTGGATTGCGATGTCTCGGTTTCGGATGGAGGACGGTTGGAAACTGGCATATATCGTAAGCCCACCCACACAGACCAATATTTGCATTTTGACTCCCACCACCCACTGGAACACAAGTTAGGAGTGATCAGGACTCTGTACCACAGAGCAGACAGTGTCCCTACAAACCCAGGAGCCAGGGAGAAAGAGAAATCACACACACGACAGGCCCTGGAGCAGTGTGGTTATCCTGACTGGGCTTTCTTGAAAGCAGACAGGAAACACAGACAGGACTCCATGCAACCTTCAGATGAAAATGAAGACCCCAAACCCAGACCAGTGGTTATTCCGTATGTTGCGGGTGTTTCGGAGAAACTGAGACGTTTATTTTCTGAACATGATGTCCCAGTGGCTTCCAAACCCCAAAACACATTACGGCAAAGGCTGGTTCACCCCAAAGATCCAGTGCCCCGGCACAAACAGAGCAATGTTGTAGGCCAGCGGTCACTCTTTCAGAGATGAGGATGTTCTCATTCTTGATAGAGAGGAACGTTGGTTTGAGAGAGGAGTAAAAGAAGCCATTTTTGTGAAGAAAGACCGTCCATCATTAAACAGAGGTGGAGACCTCCGTTTTCAGTTGTCCCCCTCCTACAGCGCGGCCATAGCCAGTATCACTTCACCCCGTTAACAATAAGTGTTAATTAGGTGTCAACGATAGCCATAAGATGTGAGTATCAGTCACATGGAGGCAGGGCTTAAAAGCCTGAATTTTGCCTGAAACTCTCAGACTGAAGAAGTCTCTTGGAGGAGAGACGAAACGTTTCATTAGAGAAGAACCCGTCCAGAAGACCTATACAATTTTTTTCTTTTTGATTTTTTACCTGGATTACTGAGATGCATCAGGACCTAATGATAAAGTGTTTTTGTCCTAAAAAAACAGAAACAAACTAATCATCTCAGTGGAAAATCACTACAGCGAACATGAAAAAAATAGAGATTTTAGTGAAAAATATTTGATACTCGTCATCTATCACAGACAGAAATGAACCTAAATATCATGGCACACAAACTGTGAGATTTAACTACACAACACAGAAGTGTCAAAATGTAAAATAACTACAAATGGTTTGTAACAAACTAATAATTGTGACAACCCTGAGTATAAATATAATAAGTGAGAAGAGTCACGTAAGAGAAAGGCACTGGGTGCACAGCATGCTGCGTGTTCACCGTCTGCAAGACGTGGATCGATGTCGCAACAAAAGATATGAATGCTGAAGTTTAACCCACCTATCATATATGAGCCCATCAATTCCCTCCACCCTCAGCTTCCTCCTGATTTCATGGTTATTGTTGTCGTCCCCCCAGCTGAACACCACCAAGCCTTTGGACTGAGCCTCCCTGATGTAATGCAGGTGCTTCAGCAGCTCCTCAGTGTGGGCACTGATTCCCTAGAAGAAAAAAAAAAGAGCCCGGCAAATGAGAGAAAGCCATCAGACCGACGCAACCTGCCAACTTTTCATTTTAGTAGAAGCGTTAAAACAAACATGTTTACAATAAAGTAAAATCACTAACCAGAATGTTTTCACTCTGAGCATAGCTAACAGCAAACTGAGTGGTCTGGCAGCGAATGTCCATCAGCTCTGGATACTTGATGGAAACCCCCTGAGTCAAGAAGAGGATGGGGTACTTGTTCTGCTTGTGACGCACCCTGAGGACGAATTTTCAGAAATCTCGTGAGCTGTTGGGAAGCCCCTATTTTTACCTGAATCCTGCAGAGACAGTGGACTCACTAAAACACACGAGATGCTGTCCCACGGATTCAGTTTCAGTTTTACCTTTCAGCTGCTACTTGTGTGACATTTAATAAACCACTCGTGCACGCAAACAGAAAATAGTGCGTGCAGAGTCACAACAGTACTTACATTGTGCAGACGTCTGGGTCGAAACATGAGAAGATGATGTGTCTTTTTCCACCTTTCTGCAGAACACAGGAGAGAATAATGTCGAGGAAGGTGTTCATGTTGAAGTAGGAAGACAAGTTTCCATCCCATGATCCGTCCTGTAAACACAAAACATTAAAAACATCAGTTTGTTTTTGACAACATGATTTATTTTTCGTCCCCATCTGAGCTGTTTTAGAATACTTCACCTTCATCTGACTGATCCATTTGAGTTCAATGTTGAAGCCAACGTTTTCAGGAACGGCTTGGAAGATCTTTAAAAAGCAAGACAGAGTATTTATTTCTCTTGGAAGTGAGAAAGGAGGAAGTTGTGTTTTACTGAGAATCATCTGAACATTTTTTACCTGAGACAGTGAGGGGAATGGCTGATGTTCATCGACTTCATCCTCATCATCCAGAAGATCTGCAAAATGCAATCAATAAACTCAAACGTTCTTTACTATGATGCAAGCTATGCACCAAAATGGAAATGACGTGATCTTATGTAATAGAGGCCGACTGCCAAAGATCTTCAATAGCATTTCATCATTGAGCCTCTTAATCTTTAATTCAAAGTCCAAGCAGGAAGGGCTGAGATACGAGAAGGAAAACAAACAAATCTGTACTTACCTTTGTGATCACTTCCTTGCAATGCAGTGATATGGGCCAACTGATTAAAAAGACAAAAAGGAAAAAAGAAAAAGAAATGGATTACTTTATTATGAAACTTAACCAATTAAAAGTTGGAACAACAAACACTGTCTTTTCTTTTTTAAACAAAAATCAGAGCTAGTGAGGGTGGTTTAATGTTAAATGATGAAATTGATAATGAGAATGCGTGAAAACAAGTGAATGGATGGACAGTCACAGTTTAAGGTCAGCCTCAGAAACTTCAGGTAATTGTTACTTAAATAAGTATTTGTTGATACATTTTTAATATCAAAACGTTACTTTATTCACAAACGTTGAAGTGAAATTTAAAACCAATGTCAGCTGAAACACCACAGTCCCAGCAGAATGTTAAAAAAGCAATGTTTTTTTTAAACAAAATATAGTAACCCCCTAGCTATATTTAGACACAGTTCCAATGTAAACATGCATATTGTGAACTCGGAGGGCGACTGCTCAAATGTTGCTGATGTGTGGAGTAAGGGGTCTCTGCATTAGGTTTTGTCCTGTGGGCGGAGACGACCCTACTCGTGATTGGCGGAGGTTTCAATGTGGGCGGAGATGGCCCAAGAGACGTGATTGGTCGGATTGACGGTGGGGTTTGAGGAGGCTGGAGGCAGCGGGGAGTAGCTTGATCAAGTCATGCAGGAAGCAACATGTTTTTTTAGATTAATTTTAGTCACAGTTTGAGAAAGTGCTGCATGAAATTAAAAGTCATACATGTGAAAGGACGTGTAACACTATGGCTTGGTTAAAACATCCCTAACCAGCCTGTAAAAAGATAAGTTAAAAATCAATATCTTTTTACAGGCTGGTTAGGGATGTTTTAACCAACCCATATTGTTACACGTACTTTCACATGTACGACGTTTAATTTCGTGCAGCACTTTCCTTTCTCAAGTTATGACTAAAATTAATAGAAAAAAATAAAAATAAAAAAATGTTACTTCCTGCCCGACTCGACCAAGCTGCTCCCCGCTGCCTCCAGCCTTATACCCCACCGTAAATCCGACCAATCACATCTCTTGAGCCATCTCCACCCACATCAACACCTCCGCCAATCACGAGTAGGGCCGTCTCCGCCCACATTAAGACCTCGGCCAATGACGATTTGGGCCGTCTCCGCCCACATTAAGACCTCGGCCAATGACGATTTGGGCCGTCTCCGCCCACAGGACAACACGTTCTGCAGAGACCCCTTCTTGGATGTGTGGGTCAATGTTCAGCTTGCCTCTGACTGACAGATGTGATGTTCTCCTTCGTTAAAATAAAAGTAATAGATGATGTGTTTGCTACCTTTCTGAAGAAATATGCTATTTAGATGTTATAGTAATGTCCTCTCTGCAGAGTTGATCTGAACAAGATGCTAGCTACAAGTTAGCCTCTTCTACAGTTAAGATGTGCAATTAACTCTGAGAAGCTGTCAGATAGTTAAACACTGCAAAAAATGTCCCTCTAACCAAATCTTATATCCAGCCAAAAAGTATTTTTGATCTCATTTTTTCACTTAATTCGAGTCTGAATCTTCTCAATTTGTACTTGCTGTACTTCAACAATAAATAAACTGATTCGTGCAGATTGTTGCAAATGTTAGTTTCAAGAGAAGAAAACACCAGTAGCCATCAGTTCCTGCAACTAAGAGTTCTCTGGTAAACAATCTATAGTATGGCTTGTTTTTTTGCTACTGGAAACAACTGACCTGTTCTGGTTTTAAGGAGGGCAAAGGTTTGAAGAGAATGACAACAACACACTAACAGCTTGCAGCAAGAGGCAGAGAATAAAGGAAACGCAGCTCTGTGCTCAGAAAAACAAAAAGTGCATGCACTCTTTACGATTTTACTTAAACCCTTTTTAACCTCAGGAAAAATGTGACAAATATAACATTTTGACACTCACTTCTTAAAGGGATCCATGATTAGTTGTAACATTAGACTTTATTTAATAAACATGTATTTTTAACTGTAAAATAAAGACTGTAAAAATACTGTAGGCCGTTTAGTTTTGTAAATTTTTAAATATATATTTTAACATGGAGGGGGCCATTTTATTTACACGGGAAGCATTCTGGGTAAATGATGACGTTGACAGGTCCTCGCTGCGAGGATGCTAGCGAGCTATATCCACCCTGTAGGTTAATCTTGGACAATATCTGACGATCGACTCTTTTAAATGAAACCAGAGAGCGTTGACAGAGAGGAGAAGGTAGAAATGACTCAGCCTGTAACTGAAAATATGGATGGAGGACAACAGAGCTGCTTCATGGAAGAAGAACCTCAGCTTAGCCTGTTAGCTTTAGCGTTAGCCCCGACTCTATCACCATATACTGTATGTGTATTAGCTCAGCGCTACACATTCTCCTCTCATCACTGAGGTCCTTCATCCACATGACAGAGAGGGAAACGCAAAAATGACTCAGCCTGCAACTGAAAATATGGATGGAGGACCTCAGTTTAGCTTGTTTGTCACACTAGCGCTGAGCTAATACATATAACGCAATATAGCTTTGGCGCTAGCGCAAAGGCCAACAATATGTTTTTTAAAATTTACAAAACTAAACAGCCTAGAGAATTTTTACAGTCTTTGTTTTACAGTTAAAATATATGTTTATCAAATAAAGTCTAATGTTACAACTAATCGTCCTGATGGATCTCAGTAATCCAGGTAAAAAATCAAAAAGAAAAAAATTGTATAGGTCTTCTGGACGGGTTCTTCTCTAATGATTAGAGAAGAACCCGTCCAGAAGACCTATACAATTTTTCTTTTTGTTACAACTAATCATGGATCCCTTTAATACCTTGATGCTAATTTTGGATGATTATTTGATTTTGTAGCAACCAAATACCGTGCAGTCAACAATACAGTTCGGAAAAGTCTTTTGCGGAAAACTAGGCTGAGATTTTCAAAGGTTGCAAAACAGTCATAAGCCCAAAGTTAAGCCGGTTTTAAATCAACTATTCTGCTCGACCAAAAGAAAAACAGTAGCACAACATGGTTTAAAGGGCGTTGCACAACCCTGACAAACATGATTTACTAGAGCAGAGGTTACCTTTAGAAGCTGCAGCTGATCAAATGTTAGATCTTTAACTGGGACTTCAATGAGCTCCAGGTTTTTGTCATTTTTCTGCAAAGTCCAACACAGTTATTAGTACAAGTTGCACTTGCTGAAAATAGAAAAAAACCCTGCTTTTTTAAACATACTTTCTTGGTGGATATGCAGCAAGTCAGATCATGGTATACAATCGGCACCTCATCCTTTGAGAGGTGAACATCAAACTCCACAAAGGCTGCTCCCTGTATGTGAACAAAAAATTGGCAGGCGTCATAGAAAATATGAGAAATATTCACAAAAATCAAGTCATCTCCTTCACTTACATGTGTAGCTGCACTTTTAAACGAGGTGATTGTATTCTCTCTAACTTTGTAGTGCCTGTAAAACAAGTCAAAAACACCGTCAGGTGTCAGAGGKCATAAAATTCTAATCATTTCAGTGAAGAATTGAGACGTTAAGGTCACTCACTTGGCAGCGTGTGTGCTGCCCGCTCCTCTGTGACCCACGTCCACAGTATTTCTTTTTGTCCAGTGCTTTGTGTACGATGAGCTCATGTCACACTGGAGGCCCTGGATTGGCCGGATCACCATATAATCCACTAAAACCCGCAACAGCAATGTAAGCATGGATGGACACGGAAATAACGGCCAACCCTGGCAGGAAATGATCAGAACCAAGGCAGATACCTTACCTCTCACTTTACCAATAGTCTGCCGGGAGTTTCTTCCCATTATGGGAAGTGTGACCACTCCCGTGTCCTTGCCATGCTCTGAGAATGAAGAGGAGAGGAGACAGGCTGTCCCCACGTGGCCTGGATGGATGTCCCCCTGGACTACATGCTCACCAAGGTCCTCCTGGAATCAAATTCAAGATTRGAACAAAAACATTTCTTAAAATGATACAGATTCATCAGAAAAGCGTTACCTCAAAAAACTCAAAGGTGAGCTCCAGGTTGTCGGGGTCCATGGTGTGGATGCTGTACTCTGTCCACCGCGAGGGCTCCAGGGCGTAACCACACTCAGGCTGAGAGTGTCGAGACTTACAGCCGTTAATGTCAATCATGCTGATCCCCAGAGTGGTGGTCATCTTGTGCCACGATGAAGGGCTGAGATCCTCCTCCTCGTCCTCCTCTTCTTCATAACCCTCCAACGTAAGCTTGATCCTGTGCCCAGAAGATCGAAAGTAAATACTGGATGGTAGGGATGGGCGATGTGTTATCGTGTGTGATATAAGACATTCACCACGGTAATTATTTGTCATCTCGCGATAAAACRATAAATTCCCACCGCGTGCCGCCAGACTTTACACGCCTCCCCGCCAGGTTAAGCTTCGTTTGTTTACTCAGCGTGGACGTCGACGTGGGGAGCATGTGCWAATATAGTAAAGCTAAGAAGCTATTGTAATGACTCAAAGTGCAAAAACGCAGTCATAGTCATCTAAAAACTCAGGAGTTCAACAACATGTTAATAAAACCACAGGACAGGGCAGCTTTAACTTGCTGGACCCACAAAATAACACAGCTCCTCCATCTTCACTCACACAAGTAGACCCTCCCTCCCCTGAACATTAACCCTTAACAGGCACAGAAATTATAACTTTACCTCCCAGAGCAGCAAAATACATTATTTTCAGTGATTAGTAAAAAGTATTTTCTTATGGTTTTATTTTATTGTTATATTACCGATAGTTTACAAGAGTTAGAGTTCTTCTGAGGTTTTACAAAAATAATGATTAGTGCAAAGAGGATGTGATTTGAAGATTTATCATATCAACCATAGTCCATTATTACTGATCATTTTTGCTGTCAAATAAATAAATAAATAAATAAATAAATAAATAAATAAATAAATAAATAAATAAATAAATAAATAAATAAATAAATAAATAAATAAATGTCAATTTTGTTCTCATATTTCAGTCTTGATGAGCGTCAGTTTTGCAATACAGGTGTACTACTTGAAATTTTATAACTACCATTAATTTTACAGTATTTACTAAAACTGTTTTTATTAATTAAGCTTGCACTATTTTATTTTGTTTATCAATTTGTTTTTATTGTGTATATTGTTCTATTGTCATTTTATTATTGACTTTTGTAAGGCTATCTTGGGAGTTTTGAAAGGGGCCTATAAATAAAATGCATTTTTAATATTATTACTATTATTTTTATTATTAATGTAGTTTAGTGGCTTCTAGTATTTTAGGGCTCTTAAGAGAGAATGTAGTGATAGAATAGTCACTTATTATCGTGATAAAACCTAGAAATTATCGTAATACATTTTTTAGTTCAGATTGCCCATCCCTGCTGGACGTTTATATTCAGGTTGGTCAGGTAAAAGCAGGTGCTGTGATAGTTTAGCTCAGTGTGGACTTCCTCCGGTGTTATATTTAGATTTCGTATCATCCGTACCTGAAGCGAGACTTCTTGAATTTCTTCTTAGTAATGGACACGGGAGGCCTCTTGGAATAATGCAATCGCAGGCGAATATCTGTCTGGCATGTCAGCCACCCTGAGTCAACACATTTCACCCCATCTGCAGAGATAAAGAAGACAGCGTGTGATTAGGCTCGACATTGTCCATCATGAATGCTGACTAATGCAGAGCTGGCAGCTGCCACAATAACAGGGAGGACACTGTGTTTTGTTCACTGGATGGCTGTAAAACACTGGTGATAAAAAGCAAAACCAGTACCTGAGCCAGTTTTCTAGAAAAGAGCTGGAATGCTTCCATTGCAGATCTTAAATAATTACACTTGTTTTAGTTTTTTTATTGGGACCTTATCAAGTGAATGCTGAGTCAGCATTTACGCTGTTGGATTTCTTATTATTTTTCTCTATCTTATTTGAAGTTTTGTTTCTGCATACTTTGTGCAATTTTAGCCATTTGTACATGTAAACTTTCAGCTCATATAAGAGATTGGTGCTGGGACTTTCGACTTTGTAAATATAGTTAAATCAAAATTTATAACCAACCAAATACATTCCCCATAGAAATAAACTGAAATCTCTTCAGTTCTATGATTATTCTCTTAAAAACTTCAGCGTACTTGCTCCATTTATTTTACTTGCATGCTATTTTTAGTTTCTAATTATCCCTTTTCTACTCTACTACTACTAATTAAAATAGCCTTTTGCTGCTTTTAGCCTCTAGCAAAAATGTAGCTGTTTTTAGCCACACTTTGCTATTTTTGGCCTTTTACTACCATTTTGCTATTAAGCTTTTAGATATCCTTTTGCTAGCCTCAGCTTTAGCAGCTAACGCACATTTTCTTATTATTTCAGTTTCTTCTTCCAACTTACTGTGAATTCCAAACTGTCCGTCGTCAATATTCTGAGGTGCTGCTGCAGGCGAAGAAAAGAAAATCAGAAGTGTGATAAAAGGTTTGCAGCAACACGTAGGCTGAGGTCAAGTCAAATCAAATCAGAGCGTTCCCAGTTGTTAAAGGGAAACTATGAACTGTAGCTCATCATATAATATGATGCTAAATTTAAAAAAAAAAAAAATCACACCAGTTTGCTCTGGAGTTGATTTGCCTCAACTTCAAGAAAGTTTATTAAACACCAACATTAACTAGACGGTAAATGTCTGCAGGGAATTAGGGTTACATTAGCTGGATCTTATGACAGCAAAAATCACATAACAAGAACAATAATACAAAGACTTGGCGATAAGCTGCAATCCTAAAAAGACATCAAAAGTAGGGTGTGGACGTGGCTGCAGCTACTCTTCCTATCTGGCCCATAGCTCTGTTTGATTAACACAATGGTCTGGTAACTAGAGGGATCTACGAAACAGGTCTAAGTTCTGTTGCGTCACAGTGTTTCCTCTTTGGCAGCAGATTAGTCCAGAAAGCACTTTACTAATATAAACCTTACAAAAGCATTTACAGGGGCAGAAAAATCAGCAAGTGCTATAATACTAGTACATTAAATACACTTTTAACGGGAGGAAACACTGCAGCTCTTTGGAAATTACAAAAAAAAAAAAAAAAAACCTCAGCAGTAGGTGTACCAATTGTATTACCAAGAACAGAACATGGCAGGTTTGAATATGATGAATTACTTTACCAAACCCAACTGAACCGTTCACAGTTTTATTTGCTATTAAATTTATACCTGTGGGGCTCATCGTGCGGGGCTGAAGATGGGTCTCCCACATATTGACTATCACTTGACAGGGGCCACCTGCGCTCTGCAATTCCAACGGTGGGTACAATGTTAGGCTTGTCAAATCAGATACACAGCACTACTGTTTCAAGCTGGTCCTGAAAAGAAGCCTTCAGACCAGAGGCTGAGGAAGGAATTAAGCGCTGGTATAGTCCCAGCTACAACAGTCAGCCACCATGGGGTTGAAATCTGAAAAGTGGATTTGTTAGTGAGGGGTGCAACAATTTTAAAAGAAAGGCTAAAGTAACCCTAACGTGTCTAATTAAATGTAAAGCTGTGGGGTTTTTTTCATTACGTGTGTCATTGTGATCGTAACACAAATATACGGTTACGTATTTTAAAGCTTGGAGATTTACAGGGTGGAGTCCAATTTAAAATGTACCCAGCCTGAGCCAAGATTTGATCTATCAATAAAATACAGATAGTGTGTTTATCCTGTTTAATTATTGACACTGTGTTTACTTTCCTGGCAAGTTGTTAAATAAACAGTCGAGTTTTACTTCACACAAACCTAAAGAAATAAAATGGCTCACAAAACAGAACACCAAGACGTAAGGAAAAGAAGATCAACAAGTCTTGCAACATTTTGGAAAAACGAAACAAAAACAGCCTGACCCAGGTTTGACAAAGTCACCACAAACTCTTACAACATCACTTCCTTTTTTCCTGGAAAAGTGATTCTGTGTATTGAACTTGTGAGTGCGGAGCACGACAACACAGAGCCCCGGCTGAGGTTCAGCTGAGGACGTGGCAGATTAAAACGTACCAGCTGGACAATTTGTTCGTGACCTCCAGCTCCTTCTGTTCACACCTGGCGCTCGGATCACGAGGCAGCTCTAAGCGTGACGCTCGGGAACGCTTCTCAAATGACCACTGCTCCGAATCAATGCGTACGTCACGCACAAGAATCTGACACACAAGAAGCTCGCGAGGGGGGCAGCAGGCAGCGCTGGGCTCGGGTTTCCGCGAAGTCCCAGACGCTTTCCTCAAACCTGGATATTGATAGACAGGAATGTGGAAAGCTTGTCTGAGCTTTCACACGTCTGTACAGGAAAGCAAAGCGTCACGGATTTGCAACAAACCTTCAAAACAGTGCGCACCTAAAACTACCTCACCTGTCACAGATGCTTTGTTTACAATCGCTGGAACACAAACAGGAAGAGGGCACTGTCTTCTGTTAACAATACAGCCAAAAGCTCCTGATCTCCAGTGGCTTAACACAGCTTTAATTCTCTTTCCTGACACTTCTTTGTCTGCTTACAAAGAGGACAGTCATTGTCTGCGACCCAAAAGGCAGTCAAATTCACACCGAAATAAAATTTGAATTAAATCAGCCAAGAAAGTTCATTCTTTACCAGGTGTGAACAGGAAGAACAGACACCAGCTCTAACTGTGGCAAATAGAGATTAATATTTAATATTTAAACTCAAGAGAACTTGAAGTTGGTGGTGACTTTGAGTTATTAAGAAAACAAAAAAGGACTAAAAAGTATTTCTTCTTTCTTGCCTGAGGGGCTGCAAAAACCATAAATTAGGTCATATTGCTCACATTACAACACACAGTGTTTAGAGAGTAAATAACGCAATTAAATTATTATATTTAAATCTTTGACAAACAATCACAAATGTAAACAAAAAATATGATCAATTGAAAAAAACTGTTCTGTGAACGCACAGGGAGGAGAGTCCAGAGAAAAATGACTCACCTTTGGTTCCAGAAAGAAGCCTTTTAAATAGCGATACTTGGAAACAACACCTTTAGGCACGGGGATTGTTACAGTCCAAGTGTGCCTGTGATAACAACAAATAAACATAGTTTTAAAAGAAAACTAGCCGTGTGAACGAACAGGGTATAAATAAGGAATTTCAGCACTAATTTTCCACTTACCCCGCATCACTTAGAGGATGTAAAGTGACCGCTTTCTGATAACTCCAGTTTCCCAGGGCCTCACAGCTCCCAACAACTGCTATCACCTCACCTACAAATAACCCACATTTTATTTTTTTATTTGGCTTTTTTATATAAACTCTCTCTTTAGGCAATACACGTTCACACTTGTTACCACTCCTTTATTCTTAGACATACCTGGAGAGGTTTCTTCCCTGATTACCAAAGTCACCTGGGTGGTCTCCATGGCTGACACTGGTTAAAATAATAATAATAATAATAAAAAGACACGATGAAAACAATCTGGAAGACAAAAAGGAGGATAAATTAATAAAACAGCTCATTTCTTCACTAAAAACATAAATAAATGAATAAAACTACAAGTCAAACTAGTCTCTAAATGCTGCAAAAGATAACACGAGTCGGATGCAGGCTAATTCGTAATTCAAAAGCTATTTTGTTAGAGGAATGTTTAAAATAAAACTAAAATGATTTCAATGGCTGCTCACAGCTAGCTACCGGTAAACACTGCAGCTGTTTTATAACCCGTCTACGTGGTGCGGATAGCTAAAGCTGCTACAGAACAGCTGCAAAATAATCTAAAGCGAAGAATAAAATGTCAAAAAATGACTACCTTTTTAAAATGTCGGTGGCTCTTCTTGGCACCGGAGGAATGTAATTCACAGCAGACCTGGTTCGTCTACCCAGCTGAGAAGCAAAGGTTTGGGTGAAGGAGGAGTTTTTAACAAAAAAGCAGCCGGTTCAACAGCCATCCTCGTCGCTTCAGCTCATCGACCAACATTAGCATTATCTGAAAAACAATACATGTTGACTGCAGACATGAGTCCGAGAAAAAAATATGTCCCAAAAACGATAAAGATGTCAAAAATATTAAGCCCGCCCAGACACAACTACACTCCAGGAATCGCTCTGCTAGCTAGGGCTAGGCTGTCTGTGTGCTAACTGCTCAGTCGAGCTGATAAATATCCGGCGGCTTGGCGTGCGCCAAATAACCTAAACAAACAGCACTTCCGGGAAATACTTTCAAACTAAAGCAATCTTTAGCGCTTTTGAATAACACAAAATTGTAGAAAAGTGACACTCCTTACTAATTTTAGTACACAAATATTGTTAATAAATCATTTTTACTGGGTGCCTCGCCAAATGTATGTTTTATGCATTTATGACTGCTGTTTGTTGATAATAGTTGCAAAAAATAAGCTATTGTTAATATTTTTTAAGTTAGTTTGTCTTTTACATCAACATACACACAGTTTACAGTAACAGACCATAAAGCAGGAAAGGATTAGCAATTCCCAGGTTTTAGCAACTTTTTTCACATTAAATCGAATAATTAAGATCCTGAATGTAAATGAAAGGGTTTATTTAACTTTTTTTTCTTAAAGTATTAAAAATACTTTGAAGTACGTTGGCATACATCGGGAATATTTCATGGCATAATCTTGTTTATCTCAAGGTGCTTTTATTTTGAAATGTGTATTTACATCCTGAACACAGCTTCCGCGGCTTGATGAACTGGTTCATACCGCTCTGCTCTGGATCTGTAGCGTGTGGGCTTTGCTGCCTTCACGTTTCTTTGGAAAAACAGCTATTACAAATATATAAATATAGATATTAATAAAATAAACTTTACAGTTTAAAAAAATCATATTTAAAACGGAACAAACTTACTTACCTACTTGCTAACTTAAAGACATAATTATTTCAATATGTGAACTGATGTGCAAACATATAATGAACTTCTTTAGGTTTTTACAACTAATATTAACTTGATATAAATTTCAAGAGTTAAATCGCTTTGTACACTCTAAACTCATAATAAGCTCACTGTAACTTATATTCGAGCTGGCAAAAGACAAAACTATTGCGTAATGACGACTACGAAGTTCTAGTGTTGGAGTTTACGTGGTTTTCTAAATGTCACACACGACTTATTTATTTATTTATTTATTTGTTTAGCTACTTGATGAAAAGTATCGAATTTCACGTAAAGGGTTTGAACTAATGTCTTCATTAGTCGAACATAGTTTTATGGGATTCGTCGCTGATTTTAACTGGATTAAATAAAAGGCAGAAATGTTTGGTAGTGATGTCAAGAACTCAGTAACCTTTATCTGTTGACAGTCACCATGTTTGTTGTTGGCAGGCAGGAAACAGATGCAATTCGGTCTCAAGGAAAGATATAGTTAGATATCATTTCCACGAAAGTGTCAGCTCGGATTGCTCTATATATAAGTAGTTTGAAACGCCTGGTTAGGAACATATCGTGTTACTTGCAGCTAGGCTACGTTTTGAGTCTCAAAAGCTTTACCTTACCTTACACTATAATAATATCACACATTTTTGCATTTAAAACTGTAAAAGGTGTGTCGAAATGGCCTAAGAAGTACTCTTTATTTTAAATCTTTTTCACTAAAGCAGTGGATATGTGTGGCCTTCAAAATAAAACAAACCTGTGTTTTGGCAAGGTATTTTTTGAAAGAAACGCTGCTCAAGTCTGTTTTTGTTACCAGCCATGATCCAAACTGTTCTTAAGTGAAGGTCGAGACACTTCACATTTTAAAGCCCAGTCTTTTTTTATTCATCTCACTCAGACACAACAGAATTTCCAGTCAAAACGACAGTTTCCGCTGATTTTTAAACAATGTAAACAATGCAATATTTTAACAGGCGCACATCAAGTTCAAGCAACTCAAAAATCAGGCTTTGGTCTGTGGCACCCTCTAGTGTTCGAATGTAATACTGCACCATAAAAAATCAATTATAAAGGCATTATTATTTGCATTAATTTAAATCAACTGTCTKCAAGAAATACAGAATTTGTACTTAGTTATATTTTTATATAAATATTCTAACTTCGAGCATAAAAAATTAGATTTTAAGAAGTTTTGATGAACAAAATATAAAGCAGATCATTACTAAATGATGTGAGTTTTATTTTTGGAGCTATCATTAAAGTTTTAATTTCTGGGCAGACTTAGTGGGGCTCCACTGTAACAAGACATGTTGGAGATGTGACAGTATTATGTCTGAAAAAACAACAATAATAATAATGATAGTAAAACATCTCCGTTTTGAGTTTCTTAATTGTGAAAAGCGTGAAGTAAGTTTACGCCAGCACATATCTGGGTAAAAAAAGTCAGTAACACAATGCAGACTGTGGAAAAGGGGCCTTAGAAACAAGAGGTAAAGTGGCTCTTTAAGGACCTCAGGTGGGTAAGATGGGTAATAGTATAATTTCTACTAGTAATAAACTTGTATTCAAAATCTGTACCGTCATTTGTTTTATTGACAAAACCTTAAATAATTTTGAGTATTAAATTACCATACAATTATGGATGAGAACGATTTGCACCATAAAATTAGAGAAACTTTTATCTCCGTGTGAATATCCACAAAGTATGAAATGCAAAAKATGCTCTGTTTGCTTTTGAATTCAGGAAATTAAAGGTTAAGGAAGAAGATAAATTTGTTCATTTATTAGTCAATTAAAGAAAAATCATTTTCAAAGTACCCCAAAGTTCTTAACCAGACTTTAATCATTTCCAAATGACTGCTGTGTGCATTGTGGGTACTGCAGTTCATTAAGTGTTTTATTATTTCACAGAGCAGGAAGGGATTTTCTGAATATACGTGTAGAAAAAAATCAGGAAATATTTATTTAAAGAATCTCATTCTTATTAAACAAGTGCACTTTTTGACTTTGTGAATTATCTAATTTTGCTGGATAAAATAGCTAAATGTGAAGCTCCTACAATGCTTACAGATTACCATTTTTTGTTGTTATGGCAGTCTTGTATCAAGTATCTTGAAGGGATACTTGAGTAAAAGTACAAGTACCTTACCATAAAGATACTTTAGTAAAAGTTAGTCTCCTCTAGAATATTGAATAAAAGTAGCTGACATTTAATGTAACTAAGACTTAAAAGTATTGAGTAAAGGTGAGCAGTGAGAACGCCTGAAATGATATTTATTGAGAAATGGCCTTCCCAAGAAAACATTTGTCCAGATCCAAAATTTTGATTTAAGTAAGATATTACTTCAAGGAATGCCACTTTTGTATTTTAACAAATTTTATATTTTATACAAATAAAGACAATAAAGAAATCTGAGACTTTTTAAGTTGAAAATACTGGAGCTCACTCTAATCTTTAAATAACATCAGATAGGAGAGCCGAGCATCGACTGATGGTGGAAACCGGCCCCGGGTGGGAGAGTGTGTGGCGGGTCCACAGATCAAAGCATCACACCATCTGCCTGTCAAAGGCGGTTAGACAGAGGAAATGAACCCAGACACAAAGAGCTGACAGCGTGGAAGGTAAACACAGAGATGGAGATGTGTTATCTGGGTTTGGTTTTACTAAAGGAAACACAATAACAGCTCCAGGGCTGCTGCTGCTGCTGCTGCTGCTGCTGGGTTTTTTTTTTCTTTGGCAGCTGCCTGTATGTGGAGATGGAGATGTGTGATAATAAATATATCCGCAGGCTAAATTTAATTTCCTTTGAAAGTGGAAACTGAAGAGCATGTCACTGTAATTTTCAGTTCCTGCATTGTTATTAAAAGGATGATGAAAAATGCGCTGACACTGTCGCACTTTGATCACTTGGTGTTTCTCTTTTGATTGGTGTTGACAGAATGTGAGCGCTACCAGTCAGTTTAATAT